AGGCTGGAACTCAAAATTTCTGATAGCCAAGTAGCACAAAGCATTTGCTCCTGCCACCGCTTGGTTGTCCCTCACTGTCACTGTACTGTCTGAAGAAACTTCCATCCCCACTGTACCGGCATACTTAGTGACCATGACAGACCCCAGCTCTCTGCCCTCTTTTGAACTGTGGAATCACAGGAACTCTTTTTCTTATGTCTGTGTCTTGGGAACAAAAATCTTCCATCTTCTGCCTGCCAGTGTCCTGGACAGAGAAGTCTTCTGCAAGGAAGCTTTCACTTTAGGTCACGAGAAACTCTTCTTTGTCTTGTACGATACAATCTCAGAGCAAAGAATATGAGCAAAGGGAGAGTTTAAAAAAATGAGAGGTCTCACTTTACTGCAGAATTGTTCACAGCTAATAAGAGTCTTAAGTTTGGGGAAAGTCAAGCAAAGGAAACTTGCCAGGACCTTACAGACAGAAGATGATATTGTTGTGCCCAGATCGTGACCCCCAGAGAGACCACCAAAGACGAGCATGCCGGAATGCAAAAGCAAGGTTTAATTCTGGATATACAAGCCTAGGCAGGGACTTCGTCCAATACATTCAACGCAGTGGAGGCTGGAGGAAGTGCCCACCTGTCTGTAAGCTCAGTTTTTAAAGGGAAAAATCACAAGGTTACATCATTTAGGGGTGCTAGTGCAGGTACAATTCCGATTGGCTTGCTTCTAGGGGATTTCTAGAAATCATGGCTTAATCTTACTTCTAAGGGAGTGGTGGCCCGCCACCATTGCTCACTGGCTGCCCTCAGGTGGGGGCATTTTTATAGTCAGTTACCCTGGAAACCAGGGTTGGAACATTCTGTAGTCCAGCAGTCATTACCTTGTGACTACCTTGTGACTCTGTACTTTTACACTCCCTGGTTTCTGGAATCTGGACTGACTTGTTTCAGTTACTATTGGCCTATTCCTAGAAGGAGAAATCTTAGGCCTTAGTTTTTGGGTGAAAGCATTTTGGTCTTACTTCTAGGATGGCTCATTTTGGTCTCACAATATAAGGAGCTTTGTCCAGTTTTTCTGTGCTATTAATAGTGTGTTATATGTGATGTTTCCCCCTCAGCTAAAATATATTCAGTAAAATTCCTTGAATCACAAAGTCTTCCAGTGTAATTTGTTGATAGAATGGAAAGGGTATCCCTTCAGTGTCCTCAAGAAGGCTTGGGATAGCAGAATCAACTAACAGAAGTCTAGTGGCAGGCAGGAAAGAAAGTTGTGCATATAAACCCCTGTAAGGGGTCTGTGTAAAGATGAAGGTTATTTCATTCTTCACATAATAGGATAGTAAGGGTGACTGATGCTGCCTTGTTACCTGACAGCTGCTGTTTGTCATTGTAAATTATGTTGCTAGAGATGGGCTCAGAGTTCATTTATCTGACACTTGGGAACATACAGCTGATATTTTTAATAGATGTTTCTTTGATAAGCCAAAAACATGTTTATTACATTCAAGCAAAAGAAAAATGTAGTGAAAACTCTCAAGATTCATAATGCTGCACCCTAATTCTCTCAATCAATGCAGAGGAAAGTAACTGATGGGTGTTGCTGGAGAGCTTCTCTCCAGGCCCCATCAAGCCCTGCAGTCCCACAACCCACATATAAAATAAACACAAACTGTATGGCTGTGGCAGGCTTCTTGCTAACTGTTCTTATATCTTAAATTGACCCATTTTTATAAATCTATACCTTGCCA